TGGAGGATGGCTTAGGTCCTTGGGCCCCTGTGCCCACTAGCAGGAGACCCAGAGGAAGCTCCTGGCTCCTGGCTTCAGATTAGCTCAGCTCTGGCCATTGGGGTCATTTGGGAGTGAACCAGTGGAATGGAGGACTCTCTGGCTCTGCTTCTCTCTGTAACTCTTTCAAATAAATAAAATAAATATTAAAAAAAATTGATTTGAAATATAAGGTAGAAGGGACATTTACATTTTGGGTTAAGGTACATATTGAAATAAATCTGCATTCAGTAAACACCTTTGTGTGATTTTTTTTGAGGTGCCTCTTTTAAAACAACAGAGATAATGGAGTTTATAAAATTTTATGATCACTGTTGTAAGGAGTATTTTTCTCTTCAAAGCTGGTTTCTGTTTTTCAACTCGTCCCTTCAAACTTCATTTCAGTTCTATCATTTCTCTTATTGCCAACCATTGTGATTTAATTAGGACTTCCTCCTTACCCGTAAATATTGCCTAGGCCTCTCTTGGTAAACAGCACGTCCTTTCCTCCCTAAAAGCTACAGCACCTCACACTTTCCTTTTGATTTGCTGCCCTGCTTCCATTCCTCAGCTGGCTTTGTAAGAACGGGTCCCGTTTATTCCGGTTCACTTCATTGCACTCTGGAGTCCTCCCTGAGCACTGTGGCTTTCAGTTGTGATCATTATGCGACATTTCAACAGTTGAAACACAGATGTGGACACTTCCTCTTTTCTTGGTGACTGTGTTTTCTGTTCTCTTAAGCCCATTCTCCATCTTTTTGATGATTTCTCCCCCCACCCCCTGCTGCTAGTTCCTGAAAGATGGATTTTTTCCCCTTCAATTCCATTGCTAAGTTTCCTTCTCTTACTTTACGTATCTTTTCTCGGCAATGCTGTGCACATCCACAGACCCCTTTTACAGTTGTCTTTTTCTCTCAATCTTGACAGATATTTCTACCTTGGAAGGAAAATTTCCCCTTTAATCTCTGAAGATTCATTGGAATAAACTGACAGATTAAACAAGAGAAAGGCACGCAAATTTACTAACATGCAAAAGGGGCAAAAAGTCACAGTACAGTATGATTACCCCTTAACCCAACAAGATTTTTTTTGCCCCTCTTCATTTTCTTAAGCTACATTTAGCATTACTGCCTTATCACACCCTATGCTCTGACCATTCTGACTTATTAATAGTTTGCCACATGTCCTTTTTATACATGTGTTTACATTTTCATAGCTTATTATAAGTCTGTGTTCCTTTGTATCCTTTCTTGAGGTTGTTCATTAACTAAAGTTTTTATTCTAAATGTTAGTGATTGAGATGGGTGTTCAGAGTGATATTTAAAATACCTATGTCCCAAATTGGAGTACTCTGGTTCAATTCCTGGCTCTGGCTCCTGACTCCAGCTTTCTGCTGATGCAGACTCTTGAAAGGCAATGATGAAGGTTCAGCTGTTGTGGGCATTTGGGGAGTGAAACAGGGGAGGATCTCTCATATTCTATCTCTGTCTCACACACAAAAAAAATAAGTTAAAAATTAGTGATCATTTAATTACACTGTTTATATAGAAATAAGTGATTTGGTTCAGTTGATAGTAATTTTCAAATTTTTTTTTATTTGCAGAAAGCTTTTTTTTGTAAAGAAATCTTACTTTAATACGGAAACAAGATGAAAGTGATGTTTCATTGGTATTTTTTGTGTCAAATTGATAACATTGATTTTTGATAAAGTTAGTTGCTGTACTGTGTTCCACTCTTTATCTATGAGTAGTATTCACTCTATGACTATAGCACCTGTTCTTACTCATTTACCTGTGATGAACGTTTGGGATATTTGCAGTTTTGGGCTGTTACCATTAAAGTTGGTGGGGACATTTGTCTTTTTGTTGCTGTGGTCATTCATCGTTAAGTACAAGCCTAAGTATAGATACGTGGTTTTATTTTTTTGAGTAAATAACTAGGATTAGAATATCTGGGTCACTTAATGCAAGTGTATATCTAACTTTTAAATAAACCACCAAATTGTTCTCTGAAGTGCCTGTGCTATTTTCATCACAAACTCCTGATATGGTCAGTTTTTTAAATTTTAGCCATTCTAATGTGTAATGGTAGGATGCCATTGTGGTTTTAATTAGCCTTTTCCTGATAATTAAAGATGTTAAACATCTCTTCATGTATTTTTTGGCCTTGCATATATGTTATTTTTTGTAAAGCCTCTGTTCAAATATTTTGCTAACTTTTTAAAACAACTAGGTTGTCTTACTGAGTGCCAAGTATTATTTATATGTTCTTGATAAAAATCCTTTGCCAGATATATTTATTGTGAATATTTTCTGTGGCTGACCCTGTTGATTTTTAAAGAGAATTTTTTTATAAGTTTATTTGAAAGATAAAGTGAGAGAGAGAGGGAGAGGGAGAGAGAGATCTTCCATCTGCTGGTTCACTCCGCAGATGACTGCAATGGCCTTGGCTATTGCTAAACTGATGCCAGGAGCCAAAAAACCCCATCATGGTATCCACAAGGGCGGCAGGGGCCCAAGTACTTGGTCTGTTTTCTGCTGCTTTCCCTGGAGCATTAGCAGGAAGCTGGATCAGAAGTGGAGTATCCTGGACTCCAAGTAGAACGCTGATATGGGATGCTGGCATCATAAACTGCAGCTTAACCCACTGTACCACAGTGCAGGCTCCTAATTTATTTATTTTGAAGATTTCTTTATTTATTTGAAAGGCAGAATTACAGAGAGGCAGAGGCAGAGAGAGAGAAGTCTTCCATCACCTGGTTCACTCCCCAGATGGCCGCAATGGCCGGAGCTGTGCTGATCAGAAGCCAGGAGCCAGGAGCTTCTTCCAGGTCTCCCTCCTTGGGGTAGCATCCCAAGGACTTGGGCCATCTTCTGCTGCTTTCCCAGGCCATAGCACAGAGCTGGATTGGAAGTGGAGCAGCTTGGACTTGAACTGGTGCCCATATGGGATGCTGGCACTTTAGGCGGTAGCTTTACCTGCTATACCACAGTGCTGGCCCCCCCTTATTTTATTTTATATTTTATGAGACAGTGGCAAGGCATAACTCCCCCCCCCCTTTTTTTTTTAAAGATTTTATTTATTTATTTGAGAGGTAGAGTTATAGACAGTGAGAGGGAGAGACAGAGAGAGAGGTCTTCCTTCCATTGGTTCACTCCCCAGATGGCCACAATGGCTGGAGCTGTGCTGATCAGAAGCCAGGAGCTCAGATGCTTCCTCCTGGTCTCCCATGCAGGTGCAGAGGCCCAAAGACTTGGGCCATCTTCTGCTTTCCCAGGCCATAGCAGAGAGCTGGATTGGAAGAGGAGCATCTGGGACTAGAACTGGCACCATATGGGATGCCAGTACCGTGAGCAGAGGATTAACCTACTGTACAATGGCGCCAGCCCCCCCCCCCCAATTTTATTTATTTTTATTTTATTTATTGTTTTTATTTGACAGATAGAGTTAGACAGTGAGAGAAAGAGACAGAGAGAAAGGTCTTCCTTCCATTGGTTCGCTCCCCAAATGGCTGTAGCAGCCAGCACTGCACCGATCCGAAGCCAGGAGCCAGGTGCTTCCTCCTGGTCTCCCATGCGGGTGGGTGCAGGACCCAAGCACTTGGGCCATCCTCCACTGTACTCCCGGGCCACAGCAGGGAGCTGGACTGGAAGAGGAGCAGCCGGGACTAGAACCCCGCCCCCCAATTTTATTTTTAAAGTTTATTTATTTATTTGAAAGGCAAAGTGACAGAGAACACATGCGGGGGTGGGGTGGAGAGGGAGGTATCTCATTGGTTGATTACTGAAATGCTTGCAAAAGCTGTGACTAGGCTAGGCTGAAACCAGGAGCCAGGAAGTCATTCTTGGTCTCTTGTGTGGCTGGCAGGGACCCAAGTACTTGAGCAGTCATCTGCTGCCTTCCAGTGTATGCATTGACAGGAAGCTGGACTTGGAAGCAGAGGCAGGACTCTGATATTGGGAGTGGGTGTCTCAAACAGCATCTTAACTGCCAAATGCCTGCCCATAAACATTTACTTGAAAAATTATAAGCTAGTGTAAAGATATAGTCTTTTGGTTTCTTGAGAACTGTTGAGTAGTTTTATTTTTATTGCACTATATACCCTTCAATTAATATGTAGCCAGTCGCTGTGGTTGATTATATTCAATTAGTATCCACCCTTAGAGGAATTGATGCTTCCATTCCTTTTTTGTTCTGCTTTAGTTTCTGGATTCATTCATTCATTCATTCATTCATTTATAATTAGAGAGGCAGAAAGAAAAAGAGGGAAAAGGAGAGTAGGAGAGAGAGATCTCCAATTCATTGGTTTACTACCCAAATGCCTACAGTGACCAGGGCCAAGCCAGGGTTGATCTAGGGTTAAAATGGGGAGCAGGAACACAATTTAGATCCCCCCTGTGGTGGCAAGGATCTACTCACTTAAGCTGTCACCTGCTGCCTTTCAGGTCTGCACTGTGGGAAGCTGGAATCAGGAGCTGGAGCTGGGAATCTAGAAATTCCAGTATGGGATATGGGCATCTTAACTGCCACTCCAAATACCTGCTCCTGGATTTTAAAAAATGTGATTAGACTAAGTTGCCAGTATGTGCCTTTGTTTATAGGGAGGACTGGAAAATTTATGCAGAGCTTGTGGATTAGAAGTATTTATGTGTGTGTCCTTTTGAGTTGTGACTTTGGTGAAATACCTTCTTATTTGAAATGCTTGGAATCTTTAAGTTAAAACTTAAAGAGAAATCTTTAGACAGTTGAGAGTTTTTAACCGATAAACCAATACATTACATTTAAACTTCTAGCTAGTAATATTAGATTCTAAACAAGTTAAACTGACAAGTTACTAAACTATGAGAAGCTGTTTCGAGATTAAAAAATGTGATTATTTTATAAGATGATTGAAATGTTTTGACTGCAGTTTGGGATTTTAAGGTAAAATGTGGCCTTTCAATGATTTATCAATTTTAAACCAAAGCTGCTTTATTTTCTAGGCGTTCATTGCACCCATGGTTTCAATCGTACTGGCTTCCTCATATGTGCCTTTTTGGTGGAGAAAATGGATTGGAGGTATTTGTATCTTGTTATAATGGAAGAACATATGTTTAGTAATTGTTAAAAAATTTACTGATGTTGTAGTTTTAGCATTTTATATTGTTTTTTTATTTTTAAAGATTTATTTATTTATTTGAAAGTCTGAGTTACAGAGAGAGGAGAGGCAGAGAGAGAGAGAGAGAGAGGTCTTCCATCTGATGGTTCACTCCCCAACTGGCCGCAATGGCCGAAACTGTGCAGATCCAAAGCCAGGAGCCAGGTGCTTCTTCTGGGTCTCCCATGCAGGTGCAAGGGCCCAAGGACTTGGGCCATCTTCCACTGCTTTCCCAGGCCATAGCAGAGAGCTGGATCAAAAGTGGAGCATCTGAGACTTGGACTGGTGCCCATATGGGATGCCAGTGCTTCAGGCCAGGGCGTTAACCCACTGCACCACAGTGCTGGCCCCTTATATTGTTTTAAAAGATAATTTTATAATTTTAAAATTATTTATTTGATAAATAGAGACTGAGAGAGAGAGAGAGAGAGAGAACAAACTCCTGCCTGCTGGTTTACTTCCCAAATGCCCACAGCAGTTGGAACAGGGTCTGGTTGAAGCTGAAGACTGGGAACTCAGTCCAGATCTCTCATATGGGTGGCAGGGACCCAGCAACTTGAGCCGTCATCTGCTGCATCCCAGGGAGCACATTAGCAGGAGGGTGAATGAGGAGAGGAGCCAGGACTGAACCCAGGCACAGTGATATGGGACGTGGATGTGCCAACCAGTGTCTTAACTGCTAGGCCAAACACCTGCCCTATAATATTGCCAAGTTCTTGGTGAATTCATAATTAATATGATGGTTTTCATTTTAGATATGGTCTTTAGAACGCTGATACTGGGGTTTTGTATTAGGTAGCACTTCTTTCGTGTGCTTAAAGAGTCCTTTACTGTCTGAAATTTTTTTCACATTGTCCAGAATTGTCAGACAAATTCTCCCAGTATTTTGTATTTGTATTCAGCTTTGGAAGTCACTAGTGCTGTTCATTTCCATTTTAATAGTGTCTTTTTTTTTTTTTTTAAATAACCATTGAGAACAAAGCAAAGCTTATAATGAGATACACAGAAGTATTTTGGGGATGAGGTTACTCTATATAAACTAGTCAGCATGATCCTACTTAGCATTTTGTGAAGTGCATTTTTAGATCCTGGGAAATTATAACCTTAAAATTCCTGAGAAAATGGGACATTACTAAGTTTTTTAATTGACTGTGGGTCATTGTTTATGTTTACCAAGGCTTGTACACAGTAGCTCCTTTCTGGATATAATAAGCTGGAGTCAACATATGATCATACATCTTCCAGTTTGTGTGTCCTTAGTGTATGTTTGCCTGTCTGTCCACTCTCTGTTTCTCTCTCTCTCTCCTTACTTATTTGAAAGGCGGAGTAGAGAGAGAAACAGAGATCTTACATCTGCAAGTTCGGTCCCCAAATGGCTGCAATGGCTTAAGAAGCCAGGAGCCTGGAATTCCATTCAAGTCTGCCATGTGGGTGGCAGGGCTCAAGTACTTGGATTGGAAGTGGAGCAGCCAGGACTCATATGGGATGCCAGTGTTGGCAGGTGGCAGTTTAGCTTGCTGTTTTACAGTACCAGCTGCATGCCCTTTCTAGCCCTGAGATGTGGTATATAGTAACCCAGGTCTCTGTGTCATTCTCAGCCGATGCTTAGCCTGGCCCAGATGACTTTAGTGCCTGGGTCTGTTGGAAGTTCCTGCAAAACCAAAAAAACCCGAAAACAAAACAAACAAAAAAACCTGTTCTTTTAAGGCTTTGAATTCTCCTTCACGGATCCTATCCGTTTTCTGCTATATACCTGTGGCAGTTTACGAATTACCAGTCTATGTCATGTTAAAATTGTTTGAGAATGAATTTATCCCTTCAAAGATTGATTGCCTTGAGATTGAGAAGCATAGTTTGTCCATTTTATAAACCTGAATTATACTTTCTATCGCTCCTTCAGTGTAATAAATATATTTTGACAAACACATAAATGGAGGAAGAAATTGCATGCTCTTTGTTTTCCATAGTATCGAAGCAGCAGTTGCTACTTTTGCCCAAGCCAGACCACCAGGAATCTATAAGGAGGATTATTTGAAGGAACTTTTTCGTCGTTATGGTGATATAGAAGAAGCACCACCCCCACCTCTATTGCCAGATTGGTGTTTTGAAGATGATGAAGATGAAGATGAGGAAGAGGATGGAAAAAAGGAATCGGAACCTGGGTCGAGTACTTCCTTTGGCAAAAGGAGAAAAGAACGGTTAAAACTGGTAATGCTAAAAAAAAATGTATAATAGTCTTTGTCTTCTGCAAGCTTATTGAGAGTGATGAAAATGGAATGTTGACTGTGTTTCTTTAGCTAGGTTTATAGAGTTGTTTCATTCTGGCTTGCTTTGCTCTCTCTATCTCTCTTTATTTTCTTGAAGGAACATTTTTGAGTACTTTCTTTCTATTCTTTTATTTATTTGAAAGTCAGAATTACAGAGAGAGAGTGAGGGAGAGACAGATCTTCTATCCACTGGTTCACTCTCCAGTGGCTGCAAAGGCCAGGGCTGCACTGCTACTTGGGTGCAGGCACCCAAGAACTTGGGCCATTTTCCGCTGCTTTCCCAGGGTCATCAGCAGGGAGCTGGATCAGAAATGGAACAGCTGGTATTTGAACTGGAGTCTGGATGGCCTCCATTCTGGCTTCCGAGACCAGATGAGATTGGGCACGTGCAGGGTGTATGGCTGTAGACCCTATTCTAGCTATCTAAAGATTCTCGACAGTCTCGAGCCTGTCTTTTTGAAGAGGAAAACTGCAATTAGGTGAATGCATCTGGTTCTGTTTCTGAGGTAAATCAACTCCTAGACATTATTAGATTGAGAATTTATTATTTCTTTATAAAATATGATGAAGTTGCCTCTCAATATCTAGTGAGGATTTTTACCATTACTTTACAAATGTCACCGTTACAGTAATTTTACATATGAATCTTGCTCTTCCTAGTACCAATATAGTGGTATTTTCATACTTTCTATAAAGTTGACTATGAAGACTCTCACTTCCTCTCCAGCCAAGCTTAATTGGTCTTCTAGATATAAAAGACAATGAAAATATTAGAGTTTATGGCCTTTTTTGGGGGGACAGGAGAGCTGTTAAAAGGAAAAGTATGCACATAGTGTTTGGTGTAAGCCAAAGAGGAAGGTTAGGGCAAGTGTAGAGGAAAAGAAGTGCAGTCACCACAGCTCATGTATCAGGAGGCAGAGGCAGGGAAGAAAACGCCTTCAATGTTTTATGTGGATCAGGTAATACAGCTAGTTTGGGTTTTTAAAAGAAGTTCCTTTTTGAAAAACATTGTTTTATTTGTACTTATACATTTCCAACTTCAAGAGTAAGGCCACTGAAAATTATAATAACTTTGAAATAGGGAAACAGTTTTAAAAATGACTGACTTTTTGAATATAATTATTATTTAAATCTGATTATTATTCCTTAGATTGAGATATCTGAAATTACTGAATCACATACCTAGAAAAATAACAATCTTATTTTAAGGAAAGTTGAATAAATAGCAATACCATAAAATCTAGATGATTACCCTCTGTGACATTATTTTTATAAGTGATTGCAATTATATTTTTTAAGAGCAATATTAATCAGGAACATAATACCTAAATGCATTGAATTGTGATACAATGTTTGATTCTGTCAAAGTTTAAAAGAGTGAATTATTGTTTTTGTTTTTTTCAATGGAATGAACATTAAAGAAGACCCTTTTATATTATCAAGTGCCATTAAATTGCTATAGTTCCAAATGAACTCCAGCAATATTAAGAGAAAGACAGCCAAGATGAGCATTCTTTTTAGACAATACAGGAATCTTAGAACCTTTGGTTTCATTTACCTCTTCCTGCCTTTTTTGATTCTGTATGTTTTAATTCTCTATATGTTTTAAACCCTTTAAGACATTATTATTATTTTATACATATAAATAATATTCATGAGATATATGCTTTCTTGGTGTTCTTTTCATCTTTCATCTGTTTTTGTGGTTTCACTTGTAGTCATTTTTCTTCTAACTGAAGCACTCCTATGATTTTTCCTTTAATGTGGGTTTCCTGTGACACATTCTTTTAGTGTTCTTGTGAAAAATGTCTTTTTTTTTATGTCATTCTGAAGTGTGTTTCTGCTAGGCATAAAAACCTGGTGTTTGGCAGTTACTTTTTTTTTTTTTTAGCACTTTGAAGATACCATTCCATAATCCATTTCTGTCAGAAGCCAGCTGTATTACTGCTTTTTTGATGGTAGGGTGTTCTATTTTATTTTTTAACAGTTTCACTGTTGCATTGCTACTTGTGGTTCTCTTTGTATTTACCCTCCTTTGTATCTGTAGATGTTCTTAAATCTGACTGGCTTTTATTTTTTATTTTTTGTAGTAGTTTTAGACATATCTTTTTTTTTTTAAATAAAGATTTTATTTATTTATTTGAGAGGTAGAATTACAGGCAGAGAGGAAGAGACAGAGAGAGAGGTCTTCCATCTGCTGGTTCACTCCCCAAATGGCCACAATAGCCGGAGCTGGGCCAATCTGAAGCCAGGAGCCAGGAGCATCTTCTGGGTCTCCCATGCGGGTGCAGGGGCCCAAGGACTTGGGCCATCTTCTACTGCTTTCCCAGGCCACAGCAGAGAGCCGGATAGGAAGGTGAGCAGCCAGGTCTCGAAGCGGTGCCCATATGGGATGCCGGCACTGCAGGCGGAGGCTTAGCCTATTGCAGCACAGTGCCAGCCCTGGCTATTTTTTCAAATATTGTTTCAGATCTGTTATTTTCTCTCTTCGTCTGGGGATCTGCTTCACCCAAGAGCCTTTTTTTTTTTAAGCTATCTTTTACTCCTTTCTTTTATTTTCCATCTTTTGATGCATGTGTAGCAATATATCCTTCAATAGATGAAGGTTGAAAGGTTTTATTAGTTTGGGCTCTTTGGTTGCAAGCAGCAGAAATTAACTCAGATTATCTTAAATAATAAGAGGGAATTTGTTATGAGCAAGTGGATAGAACCAAACACAGGCATATAAGGCCAGATTTCGGAACAATACTGGATCCTGGACCTGGAAAATTATGAGGACCTAGTTTCTGCTTTTTATTGATTTTCCATCTCTGCTCTTTTCCTTTTGTTTGTATTAGTCTTCTCACTGTCTGTGTCTCTCAGTACTGGCTCTTCCTGATTATTTGTATGCCTGAGAGATTATGACTGTTCCCAAAGCTTCAAAGCCTATAATTAAAAAAAAAAAAGATTTATTTGTTTTGAAAGTCAGAGTTAACAGAAAGAAAGAAAAGTAGGGAGGGAGGCAGGGAGAGACAGAGAGAAAGAGGGAGGGAGGGAGGAGGAGAAGAAGAAGGAGAGAGAGGTGGATATGGATGGATATCGAGATCTTCCATCCTCTGGTTCACTACCCAGATGGCTGCAATGATCAGTGCTTGGCCAGGCTGAAGACAGGAGCCAGGAGCTTCATCTGGGTCTCATGTGGGTGTCAGGGACCCATTTGCTTTCGCCATCCTCTACTGCTTTTCCTAGGCCATTATTAGGGAGCTTGATTGGAAGTGGAGCAGCCAGGACATGAACTGGTGCCTACATGGGATGCTGGCTTCGCAGGCAGTCGTCTTACTGCCACAATGCTGGCCCCCAAAACCTGTGCTATTACAATTTTAGCCACATGAAGAGACTAACTGGCTTTCTGAGAATTCCACTTCCGGATTACCAGGAGAGAGAATATGACAGAGTCAAACTGAGCTATGGGTTCGTTCATGCTCCTAGCAGCTTTGGATGTTATCTTGTAACGTCGTATAACATGGCTTATAGGGCACTGTCTTAATGGGTGAGGAGGGCAGCTCTTGCTGAGTGGTATGGCCAAATAAAGTTAGTCTAAATGGAAGAGGTCTGGAAAGAGGTTAGGAAAGCAGTGAGGATGTAGAATAGATTATAATACCCCTATTGGACTTGGGCAGTGGGAGAATAAATAGTTTTAAGAGAGAACCGATCTCTCTGAGAGAGCTAGATTTTAGTTAAGACACAGGGTACCGGGTATTCAAGAAAAAGGTTGATGTTATAGGGGAAGGTTATTTTGATTTTTCTTTTTTTCAAAAACTAAAATGGTAATTTGTTGAAAAGTAAAAACATCAGTGACTTTAAAATTCAGTTACAGTATGTTTGAAAAGAGTTTCCAACTCTAGACATTGCTGTTTATAATTGAGAATTAGTGATCTTTCTTGTAGTTATAGCCTAATTCCAGAGGAAACTATTATAATGACATTAACAGCAAAATGTGAAAGTCTGAAGTTACAAAATACTGCCCACATATAAAGTACATCATACTTACTGTCTTTATTGGACTGATTGCTACCTTTCTTTTTGCTTAAACTTTATTTCAGAAGAAAACAGAAGAAGCTAAAAAAGGTAAAGAAGTTGACGTATTGTAGGAAAGACTAAGGAAGAAGAAAAATAAATAGATGATAGATATTTACTGTGTGGTTGGTTTTATCTTTCATAACCAAACTCAGTAGTTAAATCTGTACTCATGCTCAATTTTTATTTGTTCTGTAAAATTAGAAATAGCTTGTTCAACTATACTTATTAAAATATTTCTGTGATAGTATTGTGGGAAAGACTTGGAATGTTGATCATGTTTCCTGTGTATTATTAACTTAGTTAAAAAAGAAGTAATGTTTACATTTTAGAATGAACTTATGCTAAACTTGCTTTATTTTGCTCATGTTAGAAGTTATTTTTTTACTTTGCTTAAGAAATACATCTTCCTGGACTGGTTTTATGGCATAGCAGGTAAAGCTGCCACCTGCAACATCAGCATTCTGTGTGGCCGCTGGTTCCTGACCTGGCTGCTCCACTTCTGACCCAGCTCCCTGCTAATGGCCTAGGAAAAACAGCAAAAGATGGCCCAACTGTTTGGGCCCCTGGTACCCATGTGGGAAACCTGGAAGTAGCTCTTGGTCCCTGGCTCTTGGCTTTAGCTTGGTTTAGCACTGCCAGTTGGACCATCTGGATGGAAGATCTCTGTTTCTTTCTGTAACTCTGATTTCAAATAAATAAATCAAAAACAAAAAAAAGTAATATGTGTTCCTAAATGAAGCTGGATACCTTCTTCATGTAAAACTAGAAAAAAAATTTTCTGTGCTATCAATACCTTCAGGATAAAGATGCTATTGTATTACTGAATGTTATCTTGTAAATTAACATATGTAAGATATAACTTATAAGAATACTGAAATTAGGCCGGCGCCGCGGCTCACTAGGCTAATCCTCTGCCTAGCGGCGCCGGCACACCGGGTTCTAGTCCTGGTCGGGGCGCTGGATTCTGTCCCGGTTGCCCCTCTTCCAGGCCAGCTCTCTGCTGTGGCCAGGGAGTGCAGTGGAGGATGGCCCAAGTGCTTGGGCCCTGCACCCCATGGGAGACCAGGAGAAGCACCTGGCTCCTGGCTCCTGCCATCGGATCAGCGCGGTGCGCCGGCCGCAGCGCGCCGGCCACGGTAGCCATTGGAGGGTGAACCAACGGCAAAGGAAGACCTTTCTTTCTGTCTCTCTCTCTCACTGTCCACTCTGCCTGTCAAAAAAAAAAAAAAAATACTGAAATTAAATTAATATTCTTAATAACTAAATAGGAAACAAACCTCAAGTACATGATTCAACTTTTCTTTAAGAATACCTTTTCCCTGGGTCCACAGAAGGTTAGGCTGCCATTTTGTGACACCAGCATCCCTTATCAGATTGTTAGTTTGAGTCCCTGCTGCCCTGCTTCTAATTCAGCTCCCTGTTAATGTGCCTAGGAAGGCAACAGAAGATGTTCCAAGTACTTGGGCCCCTGCCACCCACCTGAAAGACCTGGATACAGTTCTAGGATTCTGCCTTTGGCCTAGACCAGCTCTGGCAGATGGAGCCATTTGGGGAGTGAACCAGTGGATGGAAGATCTCTCTTGGTCATTTCACCTTTGAAATAAATAAATAAATGAATAAACCTTTTTATTTTATTTTATTTTATTTATTTTTGACAAGCAGAGTGGACAGTGACATCTAGAATTATCTTACAGATTTTTCTTGAGACTGATGTCAGCTCTCTTAAGGACTGAAAAGCAGTTGTGACATTAATCTAAATTATTTTTCTGGTCTTTAAAATTTCCAAGAGTGTTCTTTGTTATTTTGCTGTATATTTTTCTATCTGCTTTACTTCTCTGGGATATTTCAAAAATACACTTGCTATAAAAATACAGTAAGGTACTTCAGGTAGTTCTGATTTCAAGAATTCAGACTCAAAATTCAGTCATGACTAATCCTTAGTTTTATGTTGATATAGCCAATGATTGTGGCTTAGCCACTTTGAATACTGTTAGACTCATATTCTAGTTTACAAAATTACTGTCCTCTTAATAGCCATATTCTGCCAATGACTCATCCCTTCCTTCCCCATTGGTGAATGGTATAATGTAGATCTGGGTTCAGCTTCTGTCTTTTACCACTTGAATAAACAGTTAAATCAGGGCCCGTGCTGTGGCGCAGTGGGTTAAAGCCCTGGCCTGAAGCGCAGGCACCCTATATGGACGCTGGTTCTAGTCCTGGCTGTTCTTCTTCCAATCCAGCTCTCTGCTGTGGCCTGGGATAACAGTAAAAGATGGCCCAAGTGCTTGGGCCCCTGCACCCGCATGGGAGACCTGGAGGAGGCTCCTAGCTCGTAGCTTTGGATTGGCACAGCTCTGGCTGTTTCGGCCATCTGGGGAGTGAACCAGTGGATGGAAGACCTCTCTCTCTCTCTCTCTACCTCTCTCTGTAACTCTTTAAAAAAAAAACCAGATGAAATCTTTATGCCTTATTCAGTCATCTGTGAAGTAAATATAATATAATATAGAATGTACTTTACAGGTACTAGGGATTAGAGACTGTTTATAAAATCTCTGGCTCCCAGTACGTGATAGATAACTATTGCTTTCAGCTTACTGAGCAGTACCCATAGAGAGTTTTGGCAACATGATGTAGATACTGTGCTATCTATGTACATTGATGGATAAAGGAAAACTACTGTAAAATCCCAGCAGAGTTTATAGAACCTCTTGGAGTGGATCATTTCTGTCTCATATATTGACTTGCTCAGATTTGCAAAATCAATAAATTTATCTTTTAGTTGTCTTTTTGTAAATGGTTTAGGTTCTAATAAAATATTTTTCTTTTCCCTTTTTTTAAGGGTGCTATTTTCTTGGAAGGTATAACTGTGAAAGGTGTAACTCAAGTAACAACTCAACCAAAGCTAGGAGAGGTACAGCAGAAGTGTCATCAATTCTGTGGCTGGGAAGGGTAATAAATGTTTTAAAATTTTAAATAAAACTTATTCTTACTTTGCAACACTTAAAAGTATGTGAAAATTGACACAGGACTTGCTTTTTGTTTTTAAGATAATTATGTTAATGACTATACAGTTAAGTCAAAATTAGGTGACTCACATGTCTTTCTAAAGCAACTGCAAATTTTTGTTGTCTCTAGTATTTTTTTGGTCATTGATTCTGCTGCTGATTAATGTTTGGGCTGGTCTTATCAATTTATTAAGGGGTTGAGGAATAAAACTTGAGTGTGCCTCATTTTCCAGATTTTCTGTGATTAGAAGGCTGGGAAAAATCAGCTTTATATTTTCTGCTCCTTTCTGTGACTTGACAGAATTTATCAGACGTTTTATGGGAGTGGACTTGAGAGATTCCACTTCTGTTATTTTATGTTCTCACGTCTTGGTCTGTGATTATTTCTGTTGATCATTACAAGTATCTGACAAAAAATTGTAATACAGAAAAATTCCCAAGATAAATTCCTAGTTTGTAGAACTTTTATTATTGGTACATACAGATCAGATAACCAACTAGAAATAACTTTAAGTACAAGATTTAAGATAATGAAAATACTGATTTTAATGTTGTGTGGAATCCTTGCCAGTGTATCTTAATCTTCACCTTAATTTTTTTCTGTTATTGCTGCCACTTTTGGGCTTCTTTCCCAGTACAGTGAAGTTGGTAGTATCATGCTGGAGAAATATGGGGTCTATAATAATAATAATAATAATGCAAGCCAAGATATAAATTTCTTCTTGAGGTAAAGACTTGTAAACATACTACTTTAGCATTTAAATCATACATACTAATATTTTGAAGTTATTTCAATAATTATAGTGTAAGTGGCAATTTAGAACCCTGTTAATTTACATGCTAAAATGTTAAGAACTTATAAGCTCTAGTTAGTATTTTTGTGAAAGCTGATATTAACCCAGTTGACATTAATTTCACGATGAATGCATGACTCATCTGAGATTGGTTTAAGACATGTATTGTTTTATGTGAATACCAGCCATGATAGTAATAAAATGTTCTTCTTTAAGGTCTGGATTCCCTGGAGCACAGCCCGTTTCCATGGACAAGCAAAATATTAGACTTTTAGAGCAGAAGCCATATAAAGTAAGCTGGAAAGCAGATGGTACTCGGTGAGTTAGACTTCTAAAAAAATTATACAAATAACCCTAATGCTTGAAGAATATTGCTTTGTTGTTAGGGAAGGTTTGCACTCTTGGGAGTGTGAATTTCTGACTTGAATAGCAAAATAAGTATGTTTCAAAAACTTGTATAACTTTTGTTTTACTAGTATTCTAAGTTATTTAATATAGTCATCTCTTAATTCTGCTAAATTTTTGCTTTTAGAGTTTTCTTAATTTGACATAAATGTATACTGGGTGCTACGGTTGGGAGTATTTTATCTTAATAATATTGTAGCTTTGAATGTATCTGCTGTCCACTGCTTTATTTTTAAATTAATTTATTATTTATTTGTTTATTCATTAGTTATTTGAAGGGCAGAGTGTCATAGAGGGTCAGAGAGGAGAGATCAAGAGATTGAGATCTTCCTTTTGCTGATTCACTCACCAAACCAGCTGGAGCTGGGCCAGTCCAAACCCAGGAACCTGAGGTCCTTCTAGATTTCCCACATGGGTGGCAGGAACCCAAGTTCTTGGGCCATCATTTGCTGCCTCCCAGTTGTGTTAGCGGAAACCTAGATTGGAAGGGGGGGAGAGAGAGAGAGAGAGAGAATATGAATCTTTCATCTCCTTGTTCATTCTCCAAATGTCTGCAACAATGAGGGATGGGCCATGCTGAAGCAACTCAGTTGGGTCTCCTGTGTGGATGATGGAACCCAAGAACTTATGCCATCATCACCTGACTGCTTTTGGTTGTATTTTAAAATCTCTAAGCTTAATTAATATAAAAAGAAATGGGTCCAATGCTGTGACACAGCGGGTTAAGCCATGGCCTGCAGAGCCATCATCCTTCTGGGTGCTGGTTCAAATCCTGGCTACTTAAATTCTGATTGAGATTCCTGCTAATGTACCTGGGAAAGCAGCAGAAGATGGCTTCAGCCCCTTTTTCTATGTGGGAGACCTGGAAGAAGCTTCTAGAAGCACCTGGCTTTGGCACACCTCCGACCATTTTGGCCAATTGGGAAGTGAACCAGTGGATGGAAGATCTCACTCCCCTTCTCTCTGTAACTCTGTCTTTCAAATAAATAAATAAACCGTTAAAAAAAATAAAAGAAACTTGTCATTTGGAATTATGTCAGGCTTGCAGAAAGTTCCAAAATGCCTTTTACCCAGAGATTGACTAAATGTTAACATCTAACATAGCTGCAGTATGATGATCAAAATCAAGAAATTAGCACTGATATTTTAACATTATCTAATTAGTGGCCTTATTCAAATTTCACCAGATGTCTTACCAATATCTCACTTCTGGTTCAGAATCTAGTCCAGGATTACATAGTGTTCTAGATTATCACGTGTTTTCTTTTATTTTGGAATAATTCTTTAGGTTTTCTTTTATAACTTTAACTAGTACTGACCCCTTATCTTTTAGCCTCTTTCTCAAATTGAATTTGTCTGATGTTTCCTCACAACTCAGGTTATATATTTTGTAAAGAACATCACAGAAGTAATGTTCTGTGTCATTTCAGGAGGCTCATAGTGGAGAATTGTCCCATTACTGGTGACGTTAGCTTTGATCTCTGGTAAAGTTGTTATCTGCCATATTTATGTATGATAAAGTTACTATTTTTCCCTTTGTACTTAAGAATCTTGTGGGGGAGACACCCTGAGACTTGTAAATATTCTGTTTCATGTCATACTTTCCCCTAGAATTTTAACATTTATTGAGGATTCATGCCTGAAATATATACGAGTACTACTGTAATGTTTGTGAAGTAGAGAATAATGGAATGCAACTGTAAGGAAGAACTTTCTTTTCTCCTTCACTTATTCATTTATTCATTCATTCAGCATGGACTTATGGATTTATATTGTATTCTCTGTGTTACAGTATATGCTAGTATTTAATGACTCTTGCTCAAAATTTCTCAGATTTGGCCATTGTGAGCCCTTATCAAGTGACTCCTGTCTTTCTGGCATCTCCTCATTATTTTTTAAACAATCACTCTTTCTGACACCCCCAGATGTTCCAGGCTTATCTTATTTCTGGGTACCACGCGGGCTCATTAGCACTGGGCAATCATTGCTTACAGGCCCTCTGGCACACCTGTATCGGTTTCTGTGTCTCTTTGGGTGTATGTGTGTATGTGTATAGCTGAGTATGTTGTGCAGTTTTTCAGTCGTGAGTTTGGACTTATACTTCCAAAGCACAGGATTTAATCAAGTCTTTGTCCTTTCCTATTTGTATCTCTTCTCTGTGACAATGAGGAAATTGTTTTTCATTATCCACAGTAGTCACTATGTTACACATAGTATAGTTTTAGAATTGCTGTCCCAAACTCCTATGAGAAGCTCACTTGGGTAGAGTATAATATGTGTGTACAGTTGGTCTGACATTAGTGTTAGTCAAAGTACTATGTTCGAATCTTTCTTAGATTTTCTATCTCCTTCTGCCAGACCCTTCAGTGTGGTTATGTTTCATTAATAGTTTCTGATTGTATTCTGAGTTCATTCTCCTGTTTTGATTTACATTTTATTTTTTGAGTATGTGCAATATAAACATGGTTCTAAAAATCAAAACTATACAAAATGGTTTCTCTGAGGAATGTTACTCTCTCTTCCCAGTCTCCTGTATTTTCATTCTGTTCTTGCCTATCCCCTGCAGGTAACCAATCTCTTTAGTTTGCTGGTTTGTCTTTCCCATGCTTCTTTTTATTCTGTTGAGCTGATAAACGTATAATTTTCCTTTTCCCTTTTCTTACAGGAGAGGTGTCGTACTCTGTAGAACTGAATAGTCTTACACTTGCTTTTTTTCATTTCATAGTGTATTTTAGAAATCACTGCATCCCACTTCCCCGTTATCTTTCTCATTCTTTTTTAAGGTGAAAAGTACTCGTGTGTCCATGTTTTATTCAGCCACTCTCGGGCAGGCAGTTGGGTTGTTCCTGGTGTTTCGCCATTACAAATGGTGCTGCAGTGAAAACCTTGCACCCAGTTCCCTCTTACATTGTTGAAGGTGTAACTTCAACGTAGATTTCTAGAAGGAAGGATTGCTGAACTAAAGGCTATTTAAATATTAAGTTTAATAGGTATTGCCAAATTCTGCTCCAAGAGGGTAATAAAGATTGTATTCTCACAGGCAGTACGTGAGGATACCTCTACCGTCATGATCTTGCTAACAGAGTAGTTTGTTGGGTGTTAGATTTTCACCAGCCTAAGTGAGAAATGATACCTCAGTAGAGTTTTAATTATGTCATTGCTTATAGGCCCTCTGTAAGGTTGAACATTATTTTTATACTCATTTTATGCTGCTTGTATTTTTTTGGAATTATATGACCTTGCCTCTTTCAATTTTGTCTTTTGTCTTTGTTCTTTTTTTTTCCCCCAAGATTTATTTATTTACCTGAAAGTCAGAATTACAGAAGTAGGGAGGGGAAGAGACAGAGAGAGAGAGAGGTCTCCCATCTACTGGTTCATTTCCCAAATGGCCACAACAGCTGGGGTGGGGCAGGGCTGGAGCCAGGAGCTTCTTCCGGGTCCCCCACATGTAGTAGGGGCCAAACACTTGGACCATCTTCCATTGCCTTTCCAGGCCATTAGCACGGAGCTGGATTGAAAGTGGAGCATCCAGGACTTGAACTGGCACCCATATGGGAGGCTGGCATTGCAGGTGGCAGCTTAACCTAGTATGCCACAACACCAAACCCTGTTTTTGTTTTTATTGCAGTGTAACATTTTATTATTTTTATGAAGTCAAATTTATTAATCTCTATTGCCTCTGGGTTTTAAATGATTGTTACAAGGCCTTTCCTAATACCGAGATTGAGATTGAAGAATGAATTCTCTCATATTTGCTCTAGTATTTGTATGGTTTGATTTTTTTTTTAATCTAGAGTACTTTCAGATTATAGGTAATCTAGCATTTCCATACATTTTGAAACTTCTTTCTGTAATTATTATTTCATTATCATTGTTAGTTTGCGGTGAATAATTAGTGTCTGATGAAAATAGATAAAAATGAATTCAATTTTGAATGAAGAATATCTCCTAAGTCGTGATAGTTCACCTGGACTTGTGTCATTCTGATAATGGGCATCTTGCCTTGTATACTGGATGCTAATATGTAAAAGACTTATTTAAAATTTATTATTTATCAGTGTTTATTTGCTATTTCTTTGTTGTATTCTTTTTTATAACAATAGAAGGTTTTGAGAGGAATTAAAGGAAGGCTTAGCATCTTTAATTCTAATCCACAGGATTCTGACTTAACTTTGCTAAGTATGATGGTGGGTGTACAAATATTTTATATTGTACATGCTATTTTTCTACTTCTCAAATGCACTTTGATTTTTTTCCTATCATCAAGAGTGTGCATTCCTTCTTGCTCTTCTTTTCTGTAACTCAGCCTATATCTAGATAATAAAGCCTCTAGCATAATCTGCCCACCCCCTTTTAAATCTGTTTATTCTCGTGTTAGGAAGGCAGAAGGGGATACTGGCAACGTGGCATAGCTGTTAAGCCACTGCCTGTAATGCCAGCATCCCATATTGGCACCTGTTTGTGCCCATCTACCCTGCTTCTGATCTAGCTCCCTGCTAATGTGATGGGAAAACAGTAGAAGATGGCCCGAGTGCTTGGGCCCCCACCACCCATGTGGGGGACCCAGATGAAGTTTCAGGCTCCTGGATTAGTCCTGGCCCATCATGATTGTTTTAACCATTTAGGGAGTTAGCCAATGGATGGAAGATGTCTGTCTTTCTCTGTTTAGTTCTGCCTTTGAAATAAATAAATGCATCTTTACAAAAAAAAAAAAAAAAGGAAAAGATAGATAGAGGGACATGCACACATACACACCAGAGATTGCAGGGAGAGGGGGGAGGAAGAAAGAAATCTTTCATCTACTGGGTCATTCTTCCAATGCCTGACACAGCCAGGGCTGGGCCAGGCTGAACCCAGGATCCTGGAAGTCAGTGTGGGTCTCACATAGTTGGCAGAAATCCAGGTACTTGAAT